TCTCCCACCCTTTCCCTCTGTCTAAAAATAAAGTAAATAAAATCTTTTTTTTTTAAAAAAAGCCTGTCAACATACAAGTAGAGCCAAGTGTTAAACACTACATAAAAAAAATATTTTAATTTACATTTTCTCCCTCTAGATTAAAAAAAAGTATAGAAAAGTAAATCATTTGGAGTGACATATTTCACCCAGAAATTATAAAATTCACTTTTATTTTTCTTAATATCTGTGTTCATGAAAACCACTTGTGCAAATAAATTGCAGCGTTAGTAATTTATAACTGTCTAAAAACCTTCATATAGTAAATTTATACGTTATAGTAGCTAATATCCTGTACTCAAAAGCAAGGGAAGTAATCACCACTCAGAACAAATAACTTACAACTGACACAGAGGTAGCACTGACTTTCAGACTGGGGGTTACAAACTGAAGCATGAGAAAGGGGCAGGGCGCAACGCAGAAGTCGTCCCCTTAGCATACTGATTACTACGGCCTCGGGCACGATGCGCAGAAAGTGCTTCTGGTTGCTGAATAGGTCATGCCAGAAATTCTGTACTTTGGAACTTAGGTATACCTAAATAGAATGAATTTTCTATCTTTCAGCCAAAATTAAATGTATAAACATTTTAAGAACAGAACTTTTTAGTAAATGGTAAAATGCACAAATCAATATTTCGTCTCAGACTAGATATCCCTGTCGGCTTTATCTTAATATACTAAAGACACTGACTTTATGAATATATGTGAAGGTGTCTGTTTTACACTGATGACTTCAAAAAGCTAGACAGAACAATAAATATCCCACTGTACATATACAGAATAAAATAACTGTTTAGTAATAAGTAGTACTTATATCACAGTAGTCCAAAATGACTGAATATTTAAGGAACAAATACATGATCCTTTTCTTTCCATGGAGATAATCTTGTGGCCTACATCTGAATAACAAGTTTGCATTTTAAATAGTAAGACAGGATATCCAGCGGCTGCCTGGCTTGTCCTGATGTTATAAGCAATAAAGGCAGACTCCGATATCACCTCACAGTTTAAAGAAAATGAAAACCTGCCGAAGTTCAGTGAGTTTGGGAAGGCGAGGCGGGCTGGGTGGTGCTTAAGACCACGCGGGAGCTTTGGAATCAGGCAGGACCCACGGGAAGCCCCAGATCTGCGGCTTGTCAGGTAAGTGGCCTCCTAAAAGAGACCCCTCTGAGCCTGTTTGCTCGTCCGTGCGGCTGGACCAACACTGGTGCCCACTTTACAGAAGTGCTGTGAGAGTCAAGTGTGAAGTGCTTGGATACTGTATTGTAAGTTGTCAGTAGAGATTACTTTCCATTTCTCTCGCCTTTATTTTTTTTCTTTTATCCATAGCACTTTCATCTTTTTTTTTTAATTAAATTTAACTTTTACAAAAAGTACAAGAGATCCTTCTGGATTTACACATCTTTGCTTCGTTTGTTGTAAGCAGTCGAATCTGTCAGCGGGGTGGTCACCTGCTGTCCAGTTGTCTCCTTCTGACACTGTCAGTGGCCGCTGACCCTTTGTCCCTCGTATGTGGTCAGTTTGCGTCCCTGCAGTATCGAACGAGAGGCAGGACACTGCAGCATGACCCCCAGGAAAACACAATAACTTCCTTAAATGGATCCCTGCCGGTTTGTGAATGAAACCCTTCCAAAATTTTAACCTGCAGTCAGGGGAGGTTGTTTCAAGATGTAGCAGCTTCACCCTCGTACAGAATGCCATCCTTTACCACGACAAATATGACATAAAGATAATTAACAAAGTCACCTAACGGGTCCACCTTAAAAATAGATTATGATTTATCTAAATTTTGTCCATGTATGTCAGTTTTTAGCAAGTTCTTATTATAATTTTGACCTATTAATATTGTAATGAAAATAAGCACATATTATTTACAAATATTGATGGTATACCTATATATACGTTTAAATCACAATACTGAAAATAAAGGTATACATGTGAAAGAAACTCAAACACCTAGAGTAAGATTCTTGTGACTCTGAAATTACAAATAATCTAGAAACAATCTCAATGCCAATCACTTAACTTGAAAGAAAATACTATTATTGCTGTTAATACAGATTTTACATACAGAGTAGTGCAAAACCTGAAGCAATTTCATTGGAAAAAAAAAGTACCTTATGATGCATCCCATAAAATATAAAAAAATAAAATGTTTTCATATGTTTCTACATTAAAAACATTATCAATCTCAAAAAATAGCTGATAGAGCTTTGCTATGTAATGTAAAATGTGGTTAAGGGAAAAAATTTGATGAACCTTAAGATAAAATGCTAAGTCAAAGCGAGTGTGTGTGTTGACCAAAGCGCACGGTGGCACTGCTTCGTGGAGCCGATCAATAGATATTAGCTTTAAAAAGAGAGATATTGAAAGGAGCCACAGCATATTTTTAAAATGACAGCGAGGAGGTTTAAATTGTCTCAATCAAGTCTCAATTTTTTCTTCCCGGTTTTTCCAGCTGTTCTCTTCCAGTGAAGACTCTTCATTTCAAATAAATTTAATTAGTGCCAATTGATCACAGCCAACACTTACACCGCTTTTTCCGCGGCTCCTTATTTTCATACGGCGAGCACCCACAGAAACTGCCGGGCTCCGAGTCGGGGGGGCACGGGACAACATCCACAGCTCATTCAGTTCTCCCCAAAAGGACAACTCTTTCTATAACAAAGGCACTAATTTATACTTCATATCTTAACTGCTGTCTTGGTCAGTTGTTTAATGGAGTTAATTAAAAAATTAAGTTCCAGGTTACCTCAAATATAAAATCAATACAACAATGCATATTATTAGCTTAACTACAATCTCTAAGTAAGAATCCATTCGAAATACAGGCAAATGTCTCTGTCATGATATATTTTCTATTTATTTTATGAGGGGATATTACTAGAGCAATTCCTTTTAAATAACTGAAAAAAAATCAGATTTTTCAGAGTAAAAGGCTAACCTGATCAGTTTTCCCTTTTGTATGTGTGCTGTGCAATGCTGGTTATCCCAAAGTAAGGTTATTATGCTTGGAACAGGTTCCTCTCAATGCATCTACCCTATTTTTCATAATACAATTTATATAGGATTCTAGTCAATAAAAAGAAATATGGCTTTCTTCTAAACCTTCATAAAAATCTATACCACATCTTAATCAAGTCACACAATCAGAAGGTAACCTGACCGATCTATGGACTGCAGCCTGCCGGTTGCCTGACAGCATGCTACGGAAGCCTTTTTTCAGTTGTGGAAATTCTCTGCATATGGAACATCTTTGCTTCTAGTGTCCACGGCATGAAATGAACATCTGTCACATATGTTTAACTGAACTTCATACAGATCGAAATACAGTTTATGTAGCATTATTTGAGTCTCCAAAACTAGATTTTCATTTTTAAGCTTCTTGATTATTTCTAATAATCAAATAAAAACACGATCATGTGCTATGGCAAATGCAGTCTTAGGGCTTTGGGTGCATCATTCAAAATTTCAACGTACCGATTTACCAATACATGAGTGCTCAAAATTCACCTTTTATCCCAGAATGCAAATTGAGTTATTCTCCTATTACAAAGATAACTTCTTTTTTCCCATGAATCAAACCACTACTTTTTTACAGACAGAAGACCTTTAAAGGTTATAGAGAATTAATACAACAAAAACATCTTTAACAGCATTTCAAAAAGCAATGAAAATGGAATAAAATAAAAACTAGTTAAATAAAACTTATAAATGAAATAGTTTCCTTCAGTAGCTACTGAAACACATTCCTTAATTGTGAAGTGCAAATGACTTTCAGAAAAGTTGAAAGTTTCTGAAATAACTTACACTTAACGTACATGATTTTTTAAAAAAAATCAATGAACTGATAACATGAAAATGAATGGAAAAGTAGCAAGAACCACTATCATCTCATTTTTACTGAAAACCAGACGCTCCCCAACTTAGTCAACTCCTCATCCGCAGCAGTGACACAAACTGGGGCTTTAATTAACACAGGCTTTGCAACCTCCAAGGGCGGCCCTCGGCCTCCCTCCACCTCTGCCCAGTGATACACCAATACACCGGGGCTGACAGTACAGAAGCTGCCACATGCAGCTTTAACAAGAAAACAAACAGACAATAGACCTCCCTTTTGTTTTTTTTTCTCCCTTTAATTAAGTTTTGATGAAAATTTTACTGAAATTTTCTGGACATGCTTCATTTCAAATTTTGATTACTATTAAGTTAATATTTGTTGCTTCACGAGAATTACAGACCCATTGTTGTCAGATTTTACATTTTAACCATCCACAGCAAAGACAAAAGTTTACCATTCTTAATACCAATAAAAATATCTGTACTAGGTTGTTTTTTATCCTCTGTGCATTGAAAGAAACGGAGCTGAATTCATTTGGAGATCCAGTAACTGGAACTGTCCAAACCTATAAAAAGATAGGCTGACAACACGTACTGCATGGCTTTTCTAAATTTTACTTCATGCCTGGTTATGTGATAAATATGATCAATAAGAATGCTCAATACCAAGCATGTAAATAACTTTTAAAAGCAGCATTTATTTCTATGGTGTAGGTAAACAGAGTGTCTGCACATTTCCTTGTGTAGGCTATATTGCTATCACAACTTCAATAGTTTCAGTTTACCCTGTAATTGCAAAACCTTTCATAACATAATAGGTGTATTCCCCTACATGTTCCAAGGCTTTAGAAATAATCCTAGCCTCTGAATTAGAAGGTCCCCAGAAAATCAAATGCACAGCCAGCAGGTTCATTGTTATGGCCACAATGAGCAAACCTGGACTGCACTTCAAGATCATGAAGGACACTAAACAATCTTATAAAACCAAACACTCCATCAATGCAAGTTTCTGTGCTCTCCATCAACATGCTCCGTCCCACTCTAAAGGACAGAAGAGCATTTTCCAGTCCTGGACGAGGCTCATGAGGCTCATCCAGATTATGTTAATGAAGTCACCTTACCAGCTGTGATGTCGTCATCAACAAGGTCATGCTCTTCCTCTTGGACTTTGGCCTCGGTCCCCGAGGTGGTGTCCGGAGCCGCAGTGACCGTCTGCATGGCTTCGGCTGAGACCCCAGCTAAAACGAAGGGGAATCACAGACTCAGTTTTTAAGGACTAAGAGAAAGGTGGATCAAAACTCAAAACTTTTTAACTCACTGGAGGCAAATGCAATACATTTTAAAAATGCAGGCAGGCAAAAGTAAGTTTATAGTTGTGTGTATGGAAAATACAATAATTAAGAAATAATAACACAAGAATGAACAGTTTCACATACAACTGTAAACCTACTTTTGCCCCGCCCCATGTATATGCACCAAAATTAGGGAGCGACACAAAGAGATGAACCAAACATTCACATGAGCTCTATTTCTCTATGTGTGTGCACATATGTACGTATGGGTGCAAAGGATATTGACTTTTTTCACTAAGATCTGGGAAAAACAGAAAAATAATGCTGAAGTAAATTACATTTTTACTTGATTCCTTTCAAGTTTCTTGCTACAGTCACTTTAGCTGATTTAGAAATAATGATGGCAAAAAGAGAAAGAATTCCTGGAGAGTGAAGAAGGATAACAAAAGAGGGACTTGGGCTCTGGGCCGCTGCAGGAGACCTGAAAGGCATGGCCCCCCGAGAACCGAAATCTCTGTCCACGAGGGAACCGCGATGAGGTCAGGTCATTACCACACTGAAAGCGGACAGGTGAACTAGATCCAGTGCCTAAAGCTCCCCTTGTGTAAAATCCCCTTCGAACTTGACAGTTGATACACATGTCTTTTCCTTGCGCACCCGTCTTCCCGCCCTTGATGATATATTCTGATATCAATTTACATCTGCCACATCACTTCCAATTAGGCAACGGAGAGTGGTGCGTCGCGGTATTTTTCATTTGGGTGGCAACAGGTATTGCTCCATCATAGGACATAAAAACACCACCGCTGGTAGTTACTGTAGAAGTTGAACCTTACAATCAAATCTTCTTAACAAGGACTTAAATAGCTGCATATACAGTAGCCATCAAAATATTTTTAAAAATAAATGCTACAAATACTCAAGGATTTCTTTTCTTCCTAGGTGTACTAACTTAAATGTTTCTATGTGATATTCAACCTTGCTGCCCCAGGCCTACGAAAGGCACCAAGAGAAAAAAAAAACAACTTAGTCACTGAACACCAACAATGGTCCAGACTAGACCTAGAAGTAGGCAGTTCTAAGGCCTAAATATTTAAATTTGGGGAACAGAACACACCACGTTCTCTTCCAGCACATTTTTCAGAATTGTTGCAATGTGGAAGGAGGGAAGGAAGGAAGGGAGGGAAGGGAGGGAGGGAGGGAGGGAGGGGATAACAGAACAGAACAGAACTGTGCTATATCAATGGTCCCTGACGAATTCAAAATGACAAAGCCATCCCTTCACAGGATCATTTTGCTGTTGGGTTTTCAAGATAAAATTTTAAAATAAAGAAGGGAGATTACTGGAAAATTAGTATTAAATTCATTAGAAATGGCTATCAGTAAAATCGAAAAGAGGAGATGAGAAGGTAAATGCCATATTCCTAAATAAAAACTTATTGCTTAAATACAAAAGCAAAGATCATTATTTCAGATTAAATCAAAATATAAATCTCTGAAATCTCTTAATTTCATGTCTTGTCTAACCCTTGATAATTTTTTTAAATGATTATGGAAACAGGTAAAAGATACTAAGGAATAGCTGACAGTAACAATCATTTAGTAGTGGTATTTTCCTTTCCTGTAAAATTAAAATGCTCCACGAAAATAAAGCTGGTGTTTATGTAGTCAGAAGTTTACAAATTCATCTAAATTGATCTCATTTAATCAGAGAGATTAAGTAGTGGCTCAACATAACACAGCTACCACATTCAGGACCAGTATTGACACACAGGTCTTTTGATTTCAAACCCCAATGCCCTTTACCACCAAGACCTTCTGGACACTGAGTTCCAGGATAGAGGGTATGACAGAGCATCACAACCACCAGGAATCGTGGAATAATAAGGATGCTGAGTATAAATTCAGGTGAGCCCTCCAGGGTTCTTGGGCTACCCCCCCCCCCCCCCCCGCCCAAGTGAGGGCATTCAGTCTTTTGGGACAGAACTTGAGGAGCAGACGTGTGTATCTCAAATAGCCAAGGCTGAAAGGCCAAGTAGCTGTGCTGAAACTGGTTTCTTGATGGACACTTTCCAAAGCAAAGTAAGGGTGGAAAATCCCTTATCTCTTGGCAGAAGAAAAGGAAATACAAAACTAAAAGAAAACTACAAAGCAATATATCTAGTAAATACAGCCTCGACAATCCCTAACAAAATGTAAGCAAATAGAATTCAGCAACATATAAAAAGATTTATACATCATTACCAAGTGAGATTTATTCCAAAGATGTAAATCTGTTTATATTTAAAAAATCAATCAGCATAATGTAAAATATTAACAAGCTAAAGAAGAAAAAAATCATATAGATCATAGCAATCATTGGACAAAATTCAACATCAATTCATGATTTTAAAAAACTCCCCCAAAAATACAGATAGAGAGGAACTTCGTCAACTTAATAACGAAGGGCATCACTAAACATCCACGGGTAGATGGATGAGTAGAGTTATGGGTAGAGTTACACTCAGTGGCGGGAGACTGGATGCTCTCCTCCTGGCATCAGGAGCGGAGTGACGACGTCCACACCGGCCACCCGTACTTAACACAGCATCGGAAGTTCTAGCCAGTGTCATGAAGCGAGAAGAGAAAACACATACAGCCATGCAGTGTAGAAAGGATGAGATATATGGTCCTTATTCAAGGATAAAACACTGTCGGCCCTGGCTGGCATAGCTCAGTGGATTGAGCGCGGGCTGGGAACCAAAGTGTCCCAGGTTCGATTCCCAGCCAGGGTACATTCCTGGGTTGCAGGCCAGAACCCCCAGCAACCGCACATTGATGTTTCTCTCTCTCTCTCTCTCTCTCTCCCCCCCCTCCTCTCTAAAAATAAATAAATAAAATCTTTAAAAAAAAAAAAAGGATAAAACACTGTCTACACGAAAATCCAAAGGATGTGGCGGGGGGAACTAGGAAGTGCGTATGGACGGCAAGGCTGCAGAATACAAGAAAAAGTATTTTTTAAAAAAATCAATCATATTTTTATATGCTAGCAATGAACATGTGAACACCTAAATTTTAAAAATACTACTAATAATGGTTCAGAACACTGAAATGCTTAGAATTAAATCTAAAACAAATATATACAGGACTTGCATGCTGAAACCTACGAGAGACAGAGGAAGAAATCAAAGAAGATCTGAATGAACGACACGGAGACATACACAGGGCAAAGTAAGTTTACAGTTGTGAATACGCACAACACAAAGTTCATTCTTACATTACTATAACTACTGTATTATTTTCCATTCAAACAACTGTAAACCTTCTTTTGCCCCATCCTATAGTGTTCATAGGTTCATTGTAGAAGATTCAACATAGCAAAAATGTCAATTCTCTATAAATTGATACACAGGTTTAACATAATTTCTATGAAAATGCCAGCATATTGTTGTAGGTATAGCCACAATTATTCTCAAATTAATGTAAAGACAAAGGGATTAGACAAGCTACAAGAATTTTGGAGACAAAATGCGGTGAGAACTACCAGTCTGCCCATTGTAAGACATCATATAAAGATATTAACACTATGTGGCTTTAGGGTAATAGAAGCAAGAACCCATAAAAGATGCACACAAATATGCCCAACTGATATCTGACAGGTACAAAAGCAATTCAACGGAGATTTAAGGACAGTCTCTTCCACAGCCAGCCTTCTTAACTGGACGTCTACAGACAAAAAGCTGACCTTGATCTAAGGCTCATACGTTATATGAAAATTAACTTAATCGCTCCGTCCCCTAACCTCAGGAAAAAGGCCTCATGGACAAGGACAACAAGTGTGGTGATGGTGGGGGAAAGGGGGGCATTAGGGGACTAAATGATCATGGAAAAAAATACAATATAAAAATTTTTTAAAAGGAAAATTAACTTAAAATGAATCATAGGCTTAAATGTAGATCAAAGAAGTATAAAACTTTTACCCCAGAAAGAAAAATCTTTGAGATCTAAGGCTACAGTTGACACCAAAAATACAATCCATAAAAGAAAAACTAGGTCACGGAGACTTCATCAAAATGAAAAACTTTCGCTCTGCAGAAGATCCTATTAAGAAAATAAAAAGAGAAGCTGTGAACTGGGAGAAGAGATTCACAAGTCAAATATCCAGCAGGAGACTAGTATCCAGACTATATAAGGCACTCTCAAAACTCAACAGTAAATAGTCTGGCAGTTCTTCTGAAGGTTAAACATCGCTACCATACGGCCCAGCAACTCCACTCCCAGGGAATGAAAACACACGTCCACACAAAGACTTGTGCGTGAGTGTTCTCAACAGCCTTACTCGGAAAAGCCACAGCATTTAAAAAACCTAAATGTTCATCAATGGATGAATATATGGCTACATCACAATTTATTGATGAACAGATAATTATGATATATTCATACAGTGGAATATTAATCAGCAACGCAAGGATATAAAGTACTAAACGAAGCCACTCATAAAACACATGTTGAAATGTCCAGAATTAGCAAATCTAGAGACAGAACAACTTTTTGAAATATAAAAATCACTTCATCACTATCCACTGTCAATAAGATGACAAACTATTCCTGAGAAATATGAAGAGCCCACTTAGAAAACATAGATATGAGTGTTGTAGGTTCAATTCCCTGTCAGGGTACATGCCTGGGTTGCAGGCCATGGCCCCCAGCAACCGCACATTGATGTGTTTCTCTCTCTCTCTCTCTCTATCTCCCTCCCTTCCCTCTCTAAATATAAATAAATAAAATCTTTAAAAACCAAACAAAAAAAACATAGATATGGAACTTCATTTTCTTGCATGTTCATCATCTTGATAATCAAGATTATAAATGTCCATTCATAATATGGTAGTGCACTGCTGTTTTCTTGTGTACTTGATGTAAGCGAGCTTATTTCTCAAACTATGCCATGAAATCTCAGACTCATA